CCATTGAAAAAAAAAAAAACCCAACCCCACCCAGTCCCTTTTTTTTTTTCTATGTGGGGTGCAACACCGGGTGTGCACCAATCAGCATCCGAAAAATTTATTTATTATTATTCTTTCTCTACTCATCTTTCCCTCTCTATTATTCTTCGTTAGGCATCAATTGTATCTTCATTTATATTTATATATATTTTTTACCCAATTTTCCTCTTTCAATATATCATTAGATATTTTATATTTTCTCACTATTATAATAACATATGAATATCTTAAAATCACAAATAATTTAGTAATATATTCAATAAATTTATCTACACATCTACTTTATAAGTTTTACCTAGTTTTTCTCTTCATATTAGTAATTTATTTGTTATTATTCTTTCTCTCATTATTCTCTCAATTATAGTTTTCTTTTTTAGTCATTCCTTCAAATCTTTATTTATCAAATATATCTTTCTTTTTACTCCAATTTTTTCATCTTGAAACTTTTATACTTATATTTCACCTTTTATCAATTTTTCTTAGGAGATTCCTTCTCTTATCTTATTCTTTCACATTTTATTATTCTATTTATCTATTTACTCTACATTTTTTTATTAACATTTAATCTACTCCACATTCATCCTCATTTTTCTCTTTACATGTTAGTAATTTGTTTTTTATTAATCTTTCTCTCATTATCCTTATTCTCTCAACATTATTCTTTCTTATTCACTCATTGCATCTATATTTTTTTTATTATATATAATTTCTACCCCAATTTCTCTCTTCCTCCCCCTCTCCCTCTTTTTGTATACATTAGAATTGTTTAACCTTTTACCTTAATGAATATATTGAAAATTTTGTAAGGGCTTACTTTCCCATTTTTATAATTTTTTAATAGTTTAGACTTTTGAGAAAAGGAATGTCAAAGCATATTTTTATATTCATCATAGAGACTCTTTTTTTATTTTCAAGTTCCTTGTAAGTTTGTTCTCTTACTTCCTACTTATGCTAAGATGATTTGTTTATAACATTTTTGGTACTTTTCAAATTGGTCTTCAAATTTGATACACATTGATTATCCCTTAACTTTTTAAGAGTATTTTTTTTGTTTCTCAACTCTAAAAAATGCACTTTTTTCATCCCTCCATTATGTAATCCGTAAAGTTTATTCGCATATGTACATTTTTAGTCCCTAAATTTATAAGTTTAAAAACTAAAAAATGTGTATATATTATAAATTTAAGAACAAAAAATATACACATTTAAACGGACTTAATGGACTAATTGATGAAGTGACAAAAAAATGTACATTTTTCGAAGTTGAAGGACAAAAAAAAAAGGGCTTAAACCCTCAATTTGGTAATTGAGCTATTTTATAGACCTTCAATTTAGTCTCTGAACTAAAAAAATTCATAATTTGGTCCCTAAACTATTGTACAGACCTTCAATTTGGTCCATATTGTTTACTGATTTAGTTCCAAGTTGGTCATTCCATACAAAAAACAGCTGACGTGTCTGTTATTTAACGGCAAAAAATAGTTACTTAATAACCATGCGTCACGTTAATAATAAGATATGTCAGTTTTTTTTGTATGGAATGACCAATTTGGGGCAAATTGGTAAACAGTAGAGATTAAATTGGGATCTGTACAATAGTTTAGGGATTAAATTGAGGATTTAACCAAAAAAAATTCAAGGAAGAAAACTATGCAAAATTCTGAAATTGAAGGATTAAAATTGACATTTAACTTAGAAAGTTAGAAACACTTATAAAATTGAGTTAAATAATTAAGGTGTGAAAGGGGCGTTGGATTCTTTTAACTCCCATTAGTCAAGGAGTAAAGACCAGTCTATTAGGCTTGTTTCCAAAGTTGCTTATACATTGTGTCTTTAAGAAAAAATGTTAATTTTGATGATCCACGTTTCGCGATGCTTTAGTTTAGACTTTGTGTGGAAATCGTTTTTACCGGTAGTTTTGTTTCTATTTGTATGAATAACTATAGATAGAAACAACTTAAATAATAGAGGTGTGAAAGTGTTGCACGTGGGATTTTTTTAATTAACATTAATTAAGGAGTAAGGACTACTCTATTATGACCATTTTTTGGTACATATGACCATTTTCAAAGTTATTTATATACTGTGCATCGTTGCTTTCTATTTTCTAAGATAAAGTTTTAATTTGGTCGGAATTAGGCGATGTTCTAGATTTCGTGTGCAAATCGTTTCTATCTCTTTGCTACTTTTTACTTAGGGATCCTTTGACAATTTTTATCTTTATAAGTTATAATGATCATTATTTATTTTTTTAGCCATAATCATGATCATTATATGATTAATACTTTTTACTTAAGGATTTCTTTAAAATATTGTATACACATGTTAACTTAATAACATGTTATTATAATTTTACAATTATAAGGTGTTAGTATATGATTAAGTATTTTTATTTAGTAATCACTTATAATATTTTTACACTAATTATTTAATAATATATCATGATTATAAAATTATAATTATACTCACTATAACATAATTTTTGTTAGTTTTGATGGAAGAGTTAACTTCTCCGATCTGTGTTTGTTGAAAGACAAAGCAGGGAGAACGGCACTCCATCTTGCAGCCATCAGACGGAGGGTCCATATTATAGATGAGCTGCTATCAAAGTGTCCTCAACAAAATGCCATAGAGCAAGTGACTCCTCTCGGTGAAACTGTTTTGCACTTGGCAGTGAAGAACAGTCAATTTGGAGCATTCAAAGTCCTGTTTGAAACATCAGAAAAGCTAGAGGATCGTGAGGTGCGACTAAATGCAGAAGATAATGAAGGCAACAGAGTCTTTGAGATGGCAAAAGCCAGAGATCAACTTTAGATATCAATATCATACCTTCAGTTCTTTTTATTAATTTAAGTAATTACAATTTGTTCAGTGTCAATTTCTATTGTCTTGGATATTGCCATATTGAATTCAAGAATGATACAAAGTACATTAAGGTAAAAATTAATGTAAAAATTTTGGATAGTTTCATAGCTAGGATTGATCTTGTTTAATTTGCATATATTGATTTGATTAGAGAAATTAACTACATTATATTTCATCACCGGTACCTTTTCAAGCTGTAAATGTGTTTTTTCAAGCTGTAAATGTGTTCTTTCAAGTATAGAGTATTATATGTATCATTTTCCTATATATATTCATGGGAATACCATGAAGCCTTCTCTACATTGTATTCTAGATTTTGTAACACTTAAATTAAATTTTTTTACAAACCTTAAAAAAAAAAAAAAATTGTGACACATTGCAGGTGTTAGATTTCCTAATTCAACAACAAAGTCGAGACCATATCATTAATGTAAAGGACAAGACACCACTTGATGATTTGGAAGCAAGACTTTCGTATATAAAAGATCTCATGAAGGAGAGTTGGGTTATGTACTTAAAGGATAAGGACTTGCCACTCGTTATGGGCACAATGATAGCAGCTGCAACGTTCCAAGCCGGATTAAATCCTCCCCAAATTATCTGGGAAAAAGGAGTCCATCTTGACACCAAATGCCTGAATATTGCTCATTTTTTCAAGAACTATATAAAAGATCCTTTTTGGTTAAAATCGTGTCCGGTTTCAAGATTCTATGGTTTCATTGTGTGCAATACCCTTGCCTTTGCTTCCTCTCTTGTCCTCATCCCTTATCACTATCATGCACTGGTGGCACCAATAGTGATAATTACTTCACTTTACACCGTTCTGTTCACTTACCTTGTTGTTCTGGGCTCCATTTTTCCAACCGCATCTGGCTTCGTATTTACCCATTACGTAGTGTCACTTAGCGTTGTTCTTCTCATTTGCAAACCATTGGTTGTAATGACTATCAAAACCAAAATAACAAAGTGCATTCATCTCCAGTCTAACCAAACCGAAAGATGAATAACATTACAAAATAAAAAGTGACTCTAGTCTACAATCAAATGAATGAAGTGCTAGGAGCTTGCATGCAACCTATATATGTTAACTGCTTTAACTATGGATGTGAGTAACATTTTCACAGCTTCATCCTGATCATACACCAAACAAGCTAATTAACATATAAAAAATTGTTCATTAAGGAAATGGGGACCTCGTTCGTGTGTGTGTGGGGTGTGTTGGTGTCCATGTCGTTTTCAGAGGACGAGTTCTCTCAACATCCGTGAATAGTGTGAAGTAGTAGTGAAGTGCGTGGGGCATTACTTTTAATATTTTTAGCTCCTTTCAAAGTTAACTCATTTTCTCTGATATTTTTGCATTAGTCCAATATTGTGGCCGACACTATAAATGTGTAAAGTGTTGATAAAATATGAAGTGGACACACAGGATATTCTCACTTACCCTTAAAACGAAAGGACGGAGCACATCAATTAAAAGAGAAAGAAAAAATATATCACGTGTGTTTCATGGTAGCCATTAAAGTTAATTAAAAAAGATGGAGTAAAGGATGATCGAGCTAAACAATTACTCGAATAAAAAACCGAGAGTTTAATTGAGTTTATATTTTTAATTTATAAGTTTTAATTTAGGAATCTATTTTTTTTTTGTACATCTATAATAATGGATTAATTCTCTCATTTTTTAAAATTTTTTTAACTCGATTCAAAATTTAAATTTAAAATTTTTAATTTAAAATTTTAACGTTTTAATCATTAAGTCACATCTCAGTGATCTTAATTTAGGACCTATAACAAGATTTAAACCAAAATAACATTGAAGCATGAAACATAAAATCCTGGGACTCATTTGATTTTAAATTAGAATAGTTTAGGAACTATATCAAAAGCAACTACTTTTTGAGCTATTTAGATAGCAATTGGAAATTAGAGATTAACGATTCTATTTAATATAATAATTAATATTTGTTATCATTAATAATTTAAATATTTTTATTTATTATAATAAATAAAATTATTAATAGTTAGTTTCAAATTATTATACTAAACAGTAACAAAAAAAAGTAGTACAACAGCCTGCGTTAGGGATTATCTTGATTTTTTTGCTTTTCAGTGGAGATTATTTGCCGCTTTATTAGTTGGGGGGCTTTAGAGCCCTTTATTGTAAAGTTTGGGGAATTAAATATGGTTTTGCCAAGATATTTTTATGGAAAGAAAACAAAAATGGAAGTCGAAAAATCAAAACTCAGATAACTTGCGGTACTTCAGAAAGATCGGAGAACAGAAATGGAGAGAACGATGCTTCTCTGTTCTTCCAGTCCAATCTCTTCATCCCCAACCTCCCTCCGTAATCCTCCCTCTCTTATCATTCCTTTCCAAAACCAGCTTTCTCGCTCTATCTCAATTCCGTCACATGTCCGGTATCCTCTCACCGGGCTTCTTACTCACCGCCGTGCCTCTTCACCGGCGCACAGCTCCAGTAACTCTTCCACTCTTATCTGTTCAAATTTTAAAACTTTTTTAGATTTTAATTTACTCTGAACGAACTGCTTCTGATGCTGACTGCCAGTCCTGTTTTAGTTCATGTAACACATGGAAAGATTTGAATTCTTTTAACTGCTTGAGTTTGTTGAATGCTATTATATTGTTAATTTCATTTTGTATGAGAAATTGTTGATACAAGTTTATGTGATGGTTGTTGTGGTTCTTTGTTTAATTTTTATCTATACTTATTACTACCTTATGTGAGTGAATAAGCAATGCCACATTCGTATGTATTAAACTCATATACATATTTGAGAAGTCTTCCTTTCATCTCTTCCTTTCATCAGTGTATTTTATATTTTTATCATTTCAACTTATTTGCATATGGATGGCCAAAAAAAAAAAAAAAAAAAACTTATTTGCATATGATGGTTGTGAGATGATTCTTATCTTCCCCATTTGTTGTTTACATGATGGTAGTTATGATTTTTCTTCTTCTTGTTATGAAATTTAGCTACACAAGAAGTAATTGAAACAAACAAGATAGCATCTGGTTTTGTTGAGATTGGCTTCATACTTGGTGTTCATGGGATTCAAGGGGAGGTTTGTGTCAAACCCAACACTGGTTTTCCTGAGTTACGGTTTCGCAAGGTAAATGAAGTTCTGAAGAAAATTTTGGCCTTTAGATATATTTATTTTTATTTAATCTTCCAAGACGCTTAGATTTAAGTTACTCTTGGTGAACAATCTTTGCTTCACCTTAAGAAAAGTGATGTTTTTCTAGGCTGGCCGAAGATGGTTAAGGCAGCAAGTTTCAGGTACTGAAACAATTGAAGAAGTGGAGCTTGTTGAAGGAAGGGAACACCCTGGGCGGAATGGTTGGATACTTAGGCTCAGGGGAGTTGATACAGTAGATCGGGTGACCTATGCAGATTTTTTTTAATTTTTTAATAATTTACTTCATTCTTGTTACTTTTCTTCTATATTTCAAATCTTAGAAGCAACTCATCTGATCCAATATAAGCAAACAAAATGCAAATTCTTCATGTGGTAAATCTCTTGATTGAAAGAAAGCTTCTTGCTTGATGCTGGTTGCCAAATAAGTTCCAAACCATGTCACAACATTATTTACTAGGATTCAACTTGTAAAGTTGCAATATATTTTAAAAGGTTCCAAATGTTCTACAAATGAAGCTTTAACCTTTCAGGACTTGCATTTCACTAGTTAAGGACTTTGTAGCTAGGAAGATACTGAAAATAAATATATAACATCTGCCTTATATTTCAAGGAAAGCACTGAATGTAAACATTTACCTTTACCAGGAAAACATCTAATGATGGTTAGGTTGGTGTGTCAGTCATTCAGTTCAGTTTAATTTCTTCTAGAGTATATATAAAAGTTACCATTCAGTCAAAAATTCATCACCAGATGAAGCATGACCAATATTCTAATGTTTCTTGTTCAATGACATTTGAATCAATACAACTCAAGAAAGAATTATCCTTTCAAATTCATCCCTCCATTTTTTCTTGAAATTAAGGTTAAACAATTTTCAGCTATGCTCCAAATATGATTGAATATGTACAGTCACATGAGTACTTTTAATGTAGTTCAAACTCATCCATTCCTAATTAAAACAATTGATTTCAGGCCAGGCAACTTGTTGGTTCAATGTTACTTGTAAAGGAAGATGATAGACCACTGTTGGAAGAAGATGAATTTTATACTCGTGATCTTGTTGGAATGACAGTGATTCTCAAGGTTTGTATTTATGTGGCACTATGTAATGTGTTCTTTTTCTATACAACAATCTGACAACTTTGACAAATCATACCTCTATCATTTTTTTTGAGATTTATTTCTACTAAATAGGTATAGCAGAAAGGATTTTGTCCTATAATAGTATATTATATCTGAAAAATATTTTCCAAAGAAATTTAAGGTTAGCCACTTAGAACACATTATATTTCTATTGCGGAAATGATGCCTTAATTCACACAGTTGTTTCCATTAAATATACATTTTT